GAACTTTCCCGGGCTATTACCTTTCTAAGCACCAATTCGCTTGCTATACAGCGTCATAAATAAAATACCGTAATTAGATACGCCGCATTTTAATGTATACCATAAAGTATCTTAGTCGGGATTCTTACCATAAAATCCAAATCAATATCTGACAACTTTACGAGTAACGTATAGCTGTCATAAAGCATGGTGGCTGATCGCGTTAACAACCACACGCCAGCTGGCTTCACAGACGGGAACATGGTAATTGAAGCATACATAAGGTCTCGGTAAAAGGCTGATTCATGAATGATGAGAACTTCCTTCTCCCTGGCGATTGTCTGAGTCAGAGAAATCCTTATCCTCAAAGAATGACTCAAATTTACTCGATTTGTCTAAGTACCCAGTGGCAACTACGCTCAGGAACTGCCTACAACGGTTGCTTCTACGTTTATACTACCACAGACTTAATAACCATTTTTCAATGGGCTCAATGGAATGATGGATATCGAGATGGTGATAAAATCGGTAGATTTTTGAACTATCGTAAGGCTATAGCCTAAAATTATGCTAGAATTAGTCATTGGTCCGAAATATTTGAAATATTAAAGGCAAATGTGACTGACAGCTGCAAAACATGCACTGATAGCCGTATACGGCTTGTGGTCGGTATAATCCTTCGCCTATAATCTCTACTTAGGGATTTCATGCAGAGCTTCTCGAAATTTCGATGAAATCGATACAAAGCTAGAACTTACACCTTCCCAACCGGAAGAACCCAATGAAAGTGTGAGCGCAGTGAAAATTAGGTGATGGAAGAAGAAGGATAGAAACAAAGGAATTGTTTGAAAAGATATAAAAATCGTTCGAGTAAATTTGAATACGAGTAGCAAAATCAAGAATTTTACCAATTATTATGACCAGATACTTACGGATCGTTTTCCTCCAGATCCATTCCCAATACTTTACCCTGACTCCCTGTCCTGTCTTCTCTCACTGTCTTCTCTCACTATTTTCTAACAGTATCGCCACTTCCTGACCTTAAGGAGCCTCATGTTGTAGATTTGGCAGTTCATAACGGTAGCAGTCTCTATGATCAGTCTATATCAATCTATAACTTCATGACGATTATTCTGAAGCGGCTTCGACCTTGACGAGGTGGTTCATGCTCGACGCTCTTGCAACTAGTGAATGTAATGCGGTTTCCAAAATCTTAATTTTGGGAATTAATATCAAATAATCTGCTTCTTTACTTCATTTCTCCATTTTTAGAAAAGGAGTGGGTTCTGTAGTAACACCTGTGATTTTTCTTCCTTATTTCCCCTATTTATGGATTTATTCATTTCACTTCATCAAAATTCCGCCGATAGATCCATTGACCGTTGGCAATGAAATGTTCGGGTATGCTCATATAGTTTCAAGACAGTTAACGTCGCACCTCCACTTCTTCGCTTTTGGGATGACCTCGCTTGATTGGTTGACTGCTGACCTCTCTACCGCACTGGACTCAGCTGAACCAATACGGAATGAAAGAAATGGAAAAGCTCCCAGAACTTTGAATATGTAACAAATAAAATTAACTAAAACAAAAACCTTTACATGAATATAAAATATGCAACGCTGAAAACATAGGAATTAAAAACAATTATGGGTAGAGATTAAATTTCATTTGCACTGTAGAAAACACTCATCCAACTCGACGGCAGGCAAGCTAGTTGAAAAAGGGCTAGCATTTTCGACTTTTTGAAAATGTTGCAACCGCTGAGGAGGGAAAAGGTTTTGATAAAATGAAACTACGATGAAATGATTTTGTTTTTTCCGTTTTTTCCCAAATGTACAGCTGTAATAGTAATGGTAATAAAGTTTACATTCCATAAAATCGATGTAGTTCTGCTGATTCTTGCAGTGCAGTCAGCAACCAACAATTCATCAGAGGTCATCCCCTCATGGGAATGGGTGCAGGTGTGAAGGCAAAGATTAGGAATCATCATGTTCCTTTCCCCTGAAAAATCCCAATTTCTGAGCGTAGACGACCAGTACTGAGACCATCAATAACTACTCATTCCAGGCCTTCTCAGAAACCTTGTCTCATGAGCCTACCGCAGCGACCATGTGACAAAACGGAGCAGCCCAAGTGACGGACTTTTATGGCGAACTTAAAACCCGTGTATGCAGTTTATAGGATATTCTGTTGGTGTCAGCTGACAGGTGGTGCCAATGACTGGGTTAACCGCTGGCTGGTGCTTTTCTTAATGTGCCATAATTTTTGTGACAGCACACCATATTGCGGGAATGGGGTCTCGTCGTCGTCCATCGATGTCATTACGTAATTACTTTGAGTGGAAAAGCTCATTTACGGAGGATAACTCCTGGGACGGCACCACGAACCGTGACGGTTACAATTTGAACATCTAAACAATTCGAAATCATTATGTTCTGCTCAGAGACTCGGCTGAATGAATCAACTTTTAATATTTGCTTATACTTGCCTTTAANTTTTTTTATTGTTTTTTATCTTGCTTTTTATATTTATTTATCCAAACATGTTGCATAATCAGAAAATTCGAACGTTCTCAGTTCTCAAAAGAGGAAATAATAATAACATAAAATATCGGAAGGTTGCAAAAACAGTAACGATGATTCTTACAACAATTTCCAAGAAACAATTACATTTGAGAATGTGGGCGAAAAAATTGCCTCAACATCCTAAATTGTGTAAAAATATACAAATGTTCACAAAAGTCACCACTTTTCTGAATTGATAATGCGAGGTGAATTTAACCCTTTCCCGAATATGAATCTTGACAATCGCTTGAGTTGTATGGATGAAAAATGGGCTTGGAGGTATTATGAAGTAGTAACGGATAGAGTTTGATCGATATAAGCCTAAGGAACGAGAGACGGGAACCGAATTCGAAAATGAAAACTCATTCCTCCTTATGCTCCACAAGTTCGCTTCCTGGAATTGGCGAAAATTGAGGGGATTCAAAAATTCAAGGCTGCAAACAATTCGGTGAAGAAAAGGAAAACAAAATTTCGAAGCTTGGGTCCTGAAGATCCTCTGCGGGAATGTCTCCTGGCTATCTGATTTGTAATTTGATTTATCATTTAAGTTCTGGCTGGTTGTAAAACTTTCTTCACCTTATTGTTTGCAACGTTACAGTATCTTGAGCAGTAGAATGGCATCTCGGGTTGTTCGTCTGTGATTGGCTGAGAGGCGGGCGCAGACGCCAATGGCATTGATTGCCAGTGGCTCGTGACAGCCAACAACCCTTGACTATTCTTATATTTTAATCCCATATTTATAAAATTAATTTCTTATCGTAGATTTCGAAACAATAGTATAAAACGGTGAGGATTACAATTGTCAAACAGATATCCATGAATGGTAAGAGAACGAGGGGGGAGAACTGTTGAGGTTTTCCAAAAGATCTGATTTAGTCGAAGAAACAATCACTTGTTTTGCCGATATAACCAGTATTAACCCCTTATTAGGATATTTGTCATCTATTCCCGTTGATGTTTGTTTCGAAAAGAAGCCTTTGCTGTTGAAACTAGGGATTCTCTCCGTATAGGTGTCACCAAAGGCTTCCTACGGGTGCTCATGCTCTATTCACTTCTCTTTAGCCTTATTGATTCACCCTACTATCTCCACTGCTTTCACTCAGTCACTTTCAATCTTTTTTATAACCATATCTATTTTAGTTTTAGATTCGTTATTAAATGAATGGACTGGGTGAAGCTGGCTCGGGTGAAGCAGGATCAACGCAGAACGATCTTTCCTCCTCAAGAAATGGTCAGACTTTTTCACTTCTTTCTACATCGATGTATTGACTGTTTATTTTCTGGAAAAGCCTCAAAACATGGGGGAAACGAGTGCATGGGGTTGGGAAAACAGAATTAATTACAACTCGAATAAAAATTTATTCTCCATTCTCGAGAACATGGAGAAAGTGATGTTTTCGAAAGAGAAATTGCCTGATTTAGTCAGTCGAATGGTCAGAACATAAGGGAAGCCGATCAGACATGTGTTAAGAGCAGGTCTCGGCACTTTGTACCAGGTGGTTGGATGCAGCGGCGCTCATCCGCCACTACCTGTTAACCCGAGCGCATCTGCCATATTTGCGCTTCACCAGTATGACTTCCATTAGTGCCATTAGCGCCCTCTGTCACCAGTGCCGCTGTTTGGAACATCATTTCACGGTGCCCCAGCCTGGTCGAGCCTTAGAGCGTAGTTGAAAGTTTATCAAGCAGAACTAATGCCGACGGGCCGTTACGGTAGTGGTTCCGAGACGAGCATGAAAATGCAAGAATCCGTTCGTAGGGTATCTCGCCTTTGCGAATCCTTTCTCCGGCTGACAACCACGTTCTATCGTAGCAGCGAATATATGCAATGAATTATTCTAACAAACAATCCATCATTTCAGAGAGCTGCGTGCTGTGTGTCTGCTCCCGATGTGACATTCCCATACGAGAGAGGTTCGTGAACCTGGTTTTAGAGCGGTAAGTACAATTTCTAAAGCGAATTAATGAAAAACCCCTAAATTCCAATATCTGTCCAGTTTCTGATTGATAAGAAACACTGGAATAATTGCGAGATCTTTTCTTGAAAACTATTCGGCAGAAAATATTACCATGCGGATATTGGGTGTTCGTGAAAAATCCATCATTTTTTCCATATTTTTCTATTTTTCTATATTCTCGTGGACGATGTAGGGTTGCGGTATGATCCACCATGATCGAATTCGTAGGCAAGCTTTTGTCTTCTCCCACTGCACCAGAAAGAGCTTGGTGGTTGAAATCTCGAAGTTGTGTTTTATTTTTTTCAGTGTGCTTCATACTGACCAATTTTGATTGTTCGAATCACCTTCCAAACTGAATTTCGCTGATTGTTTTTCCTACCAAAAAGCTCGCTGAAATATCGATTCAATTGAGTTATTCTCCTGACCTTCCGAAATGAATGGGGTATAAATTTACTGGTATGACACTATTTCTGATGCGGTCCTTTAACTATCAGGCAAAATAATAAATTTGTAGAAGGAAGTTGGCATGAAGCCAGTTTCTGTTGGAAAAGGTTTCGCGAAAAAAAGACAGTAGTTATGGGTCGGCTACTTGTAAAAAGTTTCATGAAAGAAACGTGAGAATTTCCAAAATCTGATCAAAAACAATTTTCCGGAAAAATCTGCTCGAATTATTCATGGATCTTCAGCATATTCCAGAAATTTTTGGTATCTACCACTTATTATCTTTTATTCATTTCGTTTTTTCTCTTCTCCTTTTTCTTTTTTATATTCCTCTGGTTTTCCGTCGGGCCCAGTTTTTAATATGATATCTTTGCTGTTATTGTATGATTTGTAGGAAGATTTCGCTGCAAAAATGAAATTTAGAACAAATGCAAATTCTTACCGTAATCCCCCATTATTGCTTGCTACCACCATGTCACAACTAAGGTTTTGCTGTTTTACGACACATTTCATGACAGGCTGGCTGTTTTTTGAAACACCATTGGGATTACGGTAGAGTCCGTGGATCTGTACTTGCATCATTTCCGTACCATCATAAGGAACATTTCAGATCGTATCACACCAATTGCCTGAGATGTTACGTTTGTCATGAAACGCTCACTTCAACGTGCTTCATGAAGGAAAATTCCCTTTTCTGCAAGGACCATTTCTACAAGTACAGGCTTATCAGTTTGTTCGAGCTAGCCGTTATTTGCATATAAACGCAATAGTTGTTGATTGTTTGTGCATCGACGGCGTAAAACCATTAAATTACAACAGTACTACTACTGTAATCGATGTATCGACGGTCTTTTGTTGAGTTTCAGAATTTTCAGACGATTCGGAACGAAATGTACTCGATGTGGCGATGGTATTGCTCCGAATTCAGCAGTTCGGAAAGCTTCAGGTTCGCCTTCGACCCCTAGTGCTTTGGAATTTTTCCTTGGGAGGTTATATTTACAGTATTGCTCTAATGCAGGTCACATCTACCATGTTGAATGCTTCCGATGTGTTGTATGTGAAAGAGAACTAAAAACTGGTGAAGAATTCTACCTTGTCCCGGATGACGGTCGACTCGTCTGCAAGAATGATTACGAGCTCGCGAGAAATAAGCGTAAGTCATTTGTAATGAGCTCCGTGAAAGCATTGTTTTCTTCAACTGGTAATATTTAATAAGGAAGGCGAAATGAAATTTTTACATTTCTGATTGATGATTCCCATTGTCATCCGACGGGTTGAAGACACATATGCATGGACACTTCCATTCCCTTCCTTATCGTTTTCCTTCTCAGTGTAATACCAAAAAGAACACTGTCACGTGCATTGTTGAACACCCAGGAAGGAATCAACCCGAGATTGAATACACGTCAAAAGAGTTCAAGATTTTGTGCGGTCAAACATGCCCGCCATTATTGTATACAACTTCTTGCCATCGTACAGACAGCCTATGAATACTACCCCTCGACATGGGGAAACTAGGAGCACTACTACACCCCCTACATCCCTGCTTCTCAACCCCGTACAGGATTTTCTTGAATTTTGTGTTTGAGACCGAAATCACGGCGAACTCGTTCAAAGGATGAAGTCACTCGTTGAACACGGATATCGTATCGATTGAGCTCAAGAGCTCTCAGCACCTGCCCCACACACAGCAATGTCCTTAGAGCCTAAAATGGTACTACACCCATTGAAGCAAGTTTTTTTTCTGAAACTTGCTTCTGTGAAGATTAGCGGAAACGTGACCGACTACAAGAAGAGGAGTTATTCTGCGGTTCATGCCCTATTTCGATAGCCGCCCGAACAGGCAGAGTAAGAGGGGTAGAAACAAATAGAAGTATAGCGGATACCGCTGGCAGTGAAAACACAAACAAGCAAGAGTGAAACAAGCATATTCCCCAGTAAAAATGGTTGGTGAGGTCCTGCCAAGAAGAAAGCAATCGCATTATGTTTGTGAAATAAGGCTGAACTTCCTAGGTGATCTAGTGCGGGGAACAGGTCGTTTTCTGTGTTTGTTCACCTCCTTACGCTATTTTGAATTGTAGGTCCTGTAAGATACTCTATATCTTTTTATAACTGTGTCAAAGAATTAAATGAAAGCATGAGATACTCATGCACAGACTGCCTTGAATTCATATACTCGATCGCTCCTCTACCTTACGTTTATACTTTTTCAATACTCACTCCTTTCTTTTTAGCTCCCGACACCGAAACGGATGTAAGCTGTAAGCGACCACGAACAACGATTTCTGCACAGAGTCTTGATACCCTCAAACAGGTAATGTCTAGCGAACTGCTGTCTTTATGTATTTTGCTTGTATTGTGAATATATACTAGGTTAACAGGAAGGTACTTCGAAAAAATTTCAAACCGTCAAAAATAAATATAAACGGTGTGAACACGACAGCAAGGGTGATAAACTCCTGGGAAATTTGCCGCGGAACCAAAACTAGGCACGTCAAGGGAAAATGCAGGTGTGGCGGCTGAAATTATCAGCGACCTATTCGCTGTAAGCACTGTTAGCCTATCAAAGGTCGACAATCGGTTGAAACGCTTCACTGCAGGACATAGTAACTTTCGACGCAAGCACCGATCGCTGATAGTTTTAAGGGGCGTGAAGGGACTCGTTCACTGTGAGTTGCCATACGCCGACCAGATATACAGCCATCTGTCGCTTACCCCTATGGATCACAGCATTGCGTTCACGAGATTCGAGAAAAATTTCCGAAACTATAACTCAGGTACCTACAGAACGACAATGCGCGTTAGAATTTCGGAATTTATAACTCAGGCACCTACAGAGCGACAGTGAGCGTCAAAATTTCGCTTTGAACACCCGTAAGAAATTCACCGACTAGCTCGGTTCCAGGTTGTTCATCAGTCATACTCCCTGGACGTTGCCCCTTCTGATTACCATGTCCTCCTCCTCCTTAGGCATCCCTTTGGAGAAAGGAAGTTCGTAACTTAACGTGAGCTTAAAAGTGCAGTTAATGATTTCTTAGAGTCACAGTCTCCTGACATCTGGGTAAGAGCGTCAGTAATTCTTCCATACCATAATGAAGGCTGTTGATCTCTTCAGTGAATATACTGAAAATTGATTGAATATCAAAAATTCTTGAATTAAACCCAAAATAACTTCTGTTTGGTCGCGGAATCCTCCTGCTGATCTGAAAAAGAACCTATTCTACAGTATTGGAAAATTATTGATTCTGAGCCCCTTTGAAGAGTAATTTCCCACCTGTCATTTGAGATTTTCGGTATTTTCTGGAACGTTCATTTTTTCATTCACTTGGCCCTTTGGCTCCACCTTTGATTTTTTTCATTCAGATTTTTGCTTTCACTGCTTTCGAATTTGATCCCCATTCCTTTGTCTTTTGTAATTTTGCTTTTAATCAGTTATTTCAAGGCTCTTGAATATTGAAACCGACAGTTACTTTTTTTAGAACAATTCTGTGAGCTGATTTATACCAATAATAGTAAAGAAAAGAAAACATTCACAATATAGATATTGTTCTTGGAAACCATTATTCAAATGTACATAATCAGGTATGAGTATTGGAAAATTTTTAAGGCGTACACAGCAAGCAGTAAGCCACCCCGCCACGTGAGGGAGCAACTTGCAGCCGAAACTGGTTTAGATATGAGAGTTGTTCAGGTAAAATTTCTGCAAGACTTTCCTTTACTTCGAATCGACTTAAACCGAATATTGAGAAACTTAATTTGAACTATTAAGTGTAGCATTCTGAATCCGAATCCTTTTTCAGGTTACTTTTTGGTTCTTAAGTAGTGATAATACTTGTGAATACGGTAGGATACACTTGATATGACTTCTGTTTGTGGCAAAAGGAAAGCAGTTCAATGGCATGTTGGCTGCATCTCCATTACCGCTGGGGCTCATAAGCTGTTATAATTGCCACATCTGCTCAGCTCGTGTTACACGTCTTACGACTCGCACAACTCGCCCAATTCGTTCACATTGTTCATCTTTCGATCGTCATCATGTTGAATAATCATTAACAGTTTACGCTACCTCCAGCCATCAGGAATATATGTAGAAGAGATGAAGCTTAGTGATTTTGGCTCAATTTTTTTCCTGACACTCAACGCTATGTTACATTCTGTGGTTTTCTATTTGTAGCTTGGCTTTCTTCCCTGGCATCCTACTGCAATTACGGTGGGTATCCGAATGGGGGTATCTACTAGAACAGTGCAAGAGAGAATGCTGACTCACGAGCGAAACATCAGCAGTAGGATCTTGCTGTAGAGCAGCTTGCTGGTTTGTCAAGACGGGAACTCACAGCTTTTCTACTCCGTTCTGTCGACGGCCTCGTAGACGGTCTTTCGTGCAGTCAATATCAATTTCCCTCTCATACTGAGACATCCCTGAGCCAGTACTCCTTATCTACATAACTCATTACTGCAATGACATGTTGAATTGGGTGAAACCAACTCTGTGGTTTCAGGTGTGGTTTCAAAATAGACGTGCAAAGGAAAAACGCCTCAAGAAGGATGCTGGACGGCGATGGAGTCAAGCAGATAATATCAGTGCCGACAGCGGCAGCAATTCGCCGTCGGGTAGTGTAAACGACCTGAGTCCAGCTTATGGTTCTTTTCTTGCACATTGGATTCCATTGTAATTAATAGCAACTAGAAATATAACAGCAAAGGAGCTTGTGAATCATGCTATAATTCTTGATATTTTATGATCTCATGCTATAATTCTTGAGTATTCGAACGCTATAATTCTTGATATATTATGATCTCATGCTATAATTTTTGAATATTTGCTACTGGTTTTTTCATACTGAAGCAGGATCCAACGAATGATTCAGTCGAAATGCCGACTTTGTCAGCTTAATAAATATTATTCATTAATCATGTCTGCAAAGGTCTGGTTTTCAACCCCTCGAAGGGGCGTGGACTGTTTGCCTATCCGTCTGCCTCCCTCCTCCCCGNGGTTGAAACGCTTCACTGCAGGACATAGTAACTTTCGAAATAACTTTCGATGCAAGCATCGATCGTCTGGTAGTTTTAAGGGACGTGAAGGGATTCGTTCACTGTGAGTTGCCATACGCCGACCAGATATACNTAGCACTGCCTCCACGCCGGCACGCCGGCCGGCCGGCCGGCCGGCGGACTATGAAAGCAGCCAATGGATTCGGTGGGGAGTCCACAGTTCGAGCCAAACCTTTTATCCTCCTAGACCAGCCTGGTATCAATTAAAAGACCCCTCAATAGTAGAAGACCTGGGTTACATACAGGGTGACCCACATGAAGTGTGACGGGCAACAAAAAAATCAACTTATGGGCTTCTGGGTTGAAGGATGCGGTGATCTCTTGGGCGGAAAGGAACGCGATTAACGTCAGCTGAACCTTTCGCAGGATCGGGCACCAGCCCACAACGCAAAGAAGATGCTGCAATGTTGTGAAACCACGCTCCCGAGTTTTTGGGGCGAAGCAGGTTCGACCATCAAATTCCCCGATCTCAATCCTTTGGATTTTGCTGCGTGGACGATTCTGGAGCAAAAAGCATCTGCTTTCAAACACAGGTCTTCGGACCCTCTGAAAAAAAGCTCTGTCGTAGAAGCGGGGGATGAAAGCGATTGCTTGCATTCTTGAAAACTTCCGAAAGAGGTTGGATGCTTGCATTAAAGCGGAATATGGTCATTCTGCATGCGAAATGTAATATGTTGTTTGCAATTTNGTGATGATTGTATAGGGGTGAATGTTTCCTATTTGGTTTGATTTGTATAATTTTGATGCTAGTTTTCTGCGTCACACTTCATGTAGGTCACCCTGTAGATGTTATCACCGTTCAGGGATTCAATCCCTTAAGTGTACTTGGGATAGGGCGCTACTTGCCATTGCACCCCTCTGCCTGTGTGGCTGGTAAGTCTTGATAGCAATGAATAAACGAACGAGGGCCGATAAAGAGGGAAGTTATGAAGGTGAAATGAAGACCTTGAAAAAATTGCTCTGCATCGTAAGCAGACGTGATACTTGTTCCGCTTTAGAAAGCAGGGGCTATCCGAGAAGATATCGGCTAGAAGTAATTGACGACTAGTCTCGATGCAATCGAAGCATATACCCCTTCGAGAGCGTTTTTAATAAATGCAATGAGTCCGAGGATACTAATTTTTGCAGAAATCATGAACGACTATTTAGTAGTAGGGTGTACCCTTAAGCGCCTTTTCAGTATGGATCGGTATAGAGTTTCTGGAAAAACCCATACCATTATTGCTTCATCACTACTTTACTTTTCAAATTTGTGGCATTGCAATCGCCAATTCACAAAAAGCTCGTTGCGGTTGCGTTGGTCGGTCGGAGCTGCTCATCATGAGAAGTTTGATCAGCTGAGGTATCTGACACGATAAGGAAAGTCCAACTGCAAGAGGACCAATTGTGTCCCGGCTATGACATCTTCTAGCCCATAACCCCTACCACTCTGTTTGAGGCTAGGCTAGCATAAATTATCACTTGTATCACCCGTTGTCCCTTTGATCATCTATCTCCCCAAGCGATCGCCTGTAACGTCTCTATTCGTCCCTGTCGCGAGCCATACCGGTTCAGTGAGTCACCCTCACTTCAGGGCAAAGTAATACAAAAAGTCGTTATGTCTTCAAGTTCATTGATTTGAAGTAAGCGTTCGATACCGTTGAAACACAAGCGGTAATTGAAGCCATGCGCAATCAGAGTGGTCCTACCCATTATATAAGGCCCTTCGTGAGCTCTACAACAACATCACAACCAAAATATCGCCGTTCTATAAGGATGTTATCATCAACGTGAAGAGAGGGGTTCGACAAGATGATATCATTTCGCCTAAACTTTCCGTGCCACTCTCGAGAACATCAAGCGTCATACGGAAGGCAAAGCATGGGGGTGAAAGTCGATGGCCTATACTCACATCATCTCCGCTTTGAAGACAACATCGTGTTTATAACACATAGCATCTAGCAGGCAGAACGAATGCTGGCCAAGTTTGATAGTGCTAGTGGAAAGATCTCTTTAGACTGGACTCAACGAAGACGGTGTTTATGAAAAACGGATTGGTAGTCCTACGCTAAGCGGAACGGTCATTTCTGAATGTTCTGGCTATGTGTGTGTATGTATGCGTATTCGCTTATGTTTTCGACACTGCGGTCCTTCCTGTTTCGACAAACGTCTCAGAGTCTTAGACGAGCACGATAAGGCAACAGTGAGCGTCATTAGAAGCGCTGCCGAAAGTAAGATGCTAGAAAGTTTCTTTTATACGCAAGGGCAGAAGAGAATACGAAGTTCCGAGCCACGTCAACGAACGAAGATCAGGGATGCCGATGCTTACTCCAGAAAATTGAAAATCAGGTGCGTCACGTCATGCGCTGTAATGATGACCGTAGGACCACGGCCGTTACTGACTCGATCCTTCGGGAGGTCAAACGAACACGAGGGCGGCAGCCAGCGCGTTGGACAGACTTGTTCACGGAAGCTCTGAACATAAGGCCTGCTCTACCCCATTTGCCCTGAGTGTTTAGGATCCACTCTACTACTCTGGTTCGCGAAAGGGACGACTGGAGACGTTACTAGTGCCTGCTCGATCAACTGCACGGCAGGAGATATAAATTATACAGTGACCGTTGACCACTGACCTCAATAAATAAATAAATAACATCAAGCCAGAAAAAAGTTACGACTGAAAAGTACAACTGAAGTAGCATTTCGCCGAATACTTTTGAGCGCTACTGTGAATTATACTTTGGCCGTTGACCACTGACCTCAAATCGGCAGGCTCATTTTCATGCTGTATTCGATTTCTGCGATATGTTTAAACAACTTCAATCCCTTATTCTCCTTCGCTCAAGCCATGCACAAAGGATGTTTGACATTTCGAACATAGCATTCTATCCATGAATGGGGCAACACACACGAATTTCCTTCTACTGTAATAGTTTCGAAATATCTTACTATGAGAATCATATTGAAGACACTGAAATAACTTTGCAGGAGAACACGGTGCCAAGATGGATGGGAAGGGAATCAACTAGAATTTACACGACATCATTGTCAGGCTTGATTACATTTCTCGGACTCTATACTTCATATCAAATCAACGATTAGTTTATCTTTCTACGATGTCTTCATGCGTCGTTCAACATAGACACTACGACCAACCGATACTCATTGTGCTTATCAACGAAAATCTGCCTAACTTCATCGGTCATGCCATTGTCAGATGAGGGGCAAAATGCAGCTGAAAAAGTTTTTTAACTACCGTAGTCTCATTTTGATGGTTTCAAAACACTGAGGAGTGCGTACCCTCCAGACATGATGACCTCAGAAGCACCTGAATGACGTTTTTGAAGAAAGCTCTTTTTGCCACTGGAAATTGGAACTCACCAAGATG